TCACATAAAGGACAGTAAATTTTGAAATAAAACAATGATTCATAAATCTGAAGGTCAAAACACTTCTACTGTTATACAAAACAGACACAAAAAATTTCAGCAAATTATTTTAAAAACTTTTTGAGCAATCACTGTCCCCGATTGAGCTTTTTGAAAAGAATACATTTCGAGTAAAACGCATTTTAAAGTTTGACATCTTGTGTAAAGGTATGGCGACTGCTTTTACTAAAACACTAGTAGTTTTTGTTCTATTGAATAGAAAGTAAAAAACTTGGTATTTTTATTAAGGTATCCGACTACGTTCGAAACCGTGATTTTAAAAAAGCGCATAAATCGATAATTTTCATGATATTTAGTGTCACTTAGATTAGAATGTATGTATAAAATTGTTTTAAGAACATTTTGTTAAAAAAAATTATTTAAATACAATATTTTGGTAAAAAAATTAACTTAGAATAATCTTTTTTTTCCAAATGTTCTCCTGTTGTGAAAAATGCTTTTATTATAATAATATTTTGCCTGTATATAGCTCACACCTCTCTACAGAGGCTCAACTAGAATTTTTGAAAAATTCACATTATTTTCAAAGTTACACCCATTGAAATAATTATCAGCGTTTTTTTCTTAAAATTGCACCCCTCTGTTGTCGTAAAATACGGATAAACCCACTTCTAAGTTATATATTTCAAAAATTCTAGTTGAGCCTCTGTACAGAGGTCTGAGAATGTATACAGACAAAATATTATTATAATAGAAGCATTTTTCACAATAGAACATTTGGAAAAAAAATTATTCTAAGTTAATTTTTCGCCAAAATATTGTATTTAAATAATTTTTTTGTCAAAATGTCCTTAAAACAATTTTATACTTGTATTCTATACTAAGTGACATTAAATATCATGAAAATTATCCATTTATGCGCTTTTTTAAAATCACGGTTCCATACGTAGTCGGATACCTTAAGCTAATAAGATGGCCTATAAAATAAAATCATAAAAAAAATGTGTCAATTTTTGAAAAAAATCATGATTTTAGGGTAATCGGATACCTTAAATCAAGTACGTTAAGCTAGCCCATACCTGGATCTGGACTTTGCTACAACCCTCCCAAGGATAGGAACGGGGGTGTAGACTACCCCTCCCCTCCCTCCTGTTGAAGAATAATGTTAGTTTAACTTCTCACACAAAGAGGTGACTAGCATGTAATGCGAGTCTAATCGTCGGTAAAATATTCAAACGATGAGGCCGCACGTTCCTCTGTGAGACGGGACATTCTTTGCAGATCGTTTGAAAGCTCCCCTCCATCAGACGATACACTTCATTAAACAGAAGGCGTTCCGGAAACGCTCTGGAATCCTCCCTCCACAAAACCTTTGCAGTCGGCTTCACTGCAGTGGTCTTCTTTTTTATCCATACAGGGAAACTGACACAAAGGGAACAACGCAGGGAAAATAACAATAAAGCACACAGGCAGGGGAAAAAAAGTATGGGAAAAGGGTAAGACCCAGGGCTGTTGGGAAGAAGGCATTCTTTAGCGATATGTTGGTGTTTCGCTTCTCGTAACACTATTGTTAGAAGCGAATATGTTCATTGTCGCTTTGGCTTCATTGAGTTACAATGGAATTTTAAAGGAAGGTGGGGGTAAGCTCGGGATGAAGCACAGATAAAATTTGTGCTGGAGGTAGTTTTTTTAGGTGTCCTTTTGCAGTCATTAAAGTGCTAATGATGTTTAAATGTGGCACATGTTTTATTCGTTTTTCCATTGTATTTTTTTTTGGGTATCCTCGAAGTACATAATGTCTTGGCTCTTAAGATTAGGGGAAGAGGGTTACTTGATCTTTCCCCTCTTCGAGATAAAAAGAATCCGATTTCGATGTAAGAACAGGCTTGCTTTTTTACTGAAAGTAAATGATGTAAAATATATTGCTAAATCTTTGATGCACTGAAATTCCGATGCTGATAATTTAAAATTTCATTTACTTACCCTGATTTTTAATAACCCTGATAATTTAATACCAATTTTAAAAATTTAGTTATCAAATGACATACATTTTTTCCTTTATAACAAAATTTTCTTAATGTTAACTATGCGTGGAACATTATAGTTCTATTTCACATACCGTTCCAATTTAATGTTGCGGAAATGTATAGATTTCTTTGTGTATGTTCACCATTACGATGTATGTTTATTATAGAAATGTATAATACAGTTTCGAGATTGAAAAATACATGTGCTGATGAAAATTTTTTCAATACAATATTACTTACTTTTTGACAGATTTTCAAGAAAATACACTCATGAGAAAATGCGTGCTCAGTATTTCACCTGCACTTTAACTCTTAATTAAAGAAAACAAGCATTTTGAAAAGTTACCTCTTCAAACTAATTCTTACTTTAACATCGAAGATTGGTTATCTTTTGAATAATTGAATACACAAACACACACATATATATGCAGGTGTAAACATTTTTTTGTACGGTTGAATTGAATAAATATAAAAATAGAGAAAAAAGGTAAAAAGAATTTAATAAGGTCAAAATTTTATATTTTGAACAATTTTAGGTAAAATGCTAATTAAATTTTAAGAAAAGAACATTTAGCAAATAAAATAGGAAGTAAATAAATAAATACAGCTGAATAACCCAGTATTTCACAGATTTATCTTTTTATCGATAAATATACAAATATTATCTAAAACACCATCTCTCGTTCCGCTCTCTTCTTCCGCCTCTCTCGTTCCTGCTCTCTCTCTTCCGCTCTCTCGTTCCCCTCTCGTCCCGCACGCCTGTTCTCTCTTCTTGCTCTTTTGTCCGTCTTCCGTTCATCTCTCTTCTCTACCGCTACTCTCTCACTGAGCTCTTCTCACGCTCTCAATTCCGTCCTCTACGGTAATATTTCAAACAAACTTTGTCTCTTCCTATGCTTCTCCTCCTCCACGCCTCGTCTTTAATGCTTTCTTACCCTCAGTTGAACACAAAATGTTATCTTTATGCTTTTGTTTAATAGTTCTAAAAATCGTGATTACTCAATGAAGAAAAACTATCCTAAACAAAGTTATATGGTTTTTAAAATTTTCCTTTTCCCATCTATTAAAGGTGATTTTTAAAAACTTTGAAATAATCGTAATAATTTAAATCGTATAGTAATATTTTGTCTTCATTAAAGTTTATCAAAGGTGTTTTATTTGATCGTAAAATTTCATATTTTGATTTAGTCAGATAATAGTGCTTATTTACTGAATGCTTCCATTTGAGATTTAGTCAGATAATATTTTTTATCTTGCGATACTATTAGAGAATGAAACTTTTATCGTATTTCATAATACATATTCCTTAAACTTTGTTTATTTAATGGAAAGCATAGTGTTTTGAAAACACCGCAGCATTTTAATTTATATTACCTTATTTTAAATCTCCTAGGTCGCTAGTATAAAGTCAAATCCACAGGATAATTATAAATTCTAATTTACATTTTGCAGCTTCAGGGTTACAAATAATTATCTATGAGGTCGAGGGTTTAAATAAAACAGCAGTTAAGAAAATATTTTTATAAGAAGAACGATAAAATTCTAATACTCTACTGACTGAGTAATTGTAAAGACTTGTATACAAATAATTATTCAGGTCCTCTTTTCAAAAATTACACTGGTTGGCTTCAAAATCACAAACAGCAATTTTTCCATACTACCTTATCAAAACATTTTTCATTTTTTTTTTCTATAGCAGGCATTTCCTCAGAAAATGAAACTCATTTAAAATATCTCCAAAAATTGGCTTTCATCATTCCTCTAGGATATACAAGCAACTAAGATAAATAATAATAAAAAAAAAGTCTGAAATGAGCGTAATGTTTTTGATCTATTTGCAGCGAATAAATGAAAAAAAAAAGCCCTCAAAATCCATGGATTTCTAATTAGCATTACGAGCACAAGCACCGAAAGAAAACATAGGAGAAGTAGACCTCTGAATGCGTTCAAAAGCAGAAGACGAAAATGCAAAGAAATAAAAATAATAAAAAATCGTTTAAAATTTTCATTCCAAGCCAGAGCACATTTTTAAAGAGGCTTCGGCCCCGACATTTCTCAATTTCCTTTTCCTTTCATTTTTCTTTACTCGTAACTTTCTCTCTCTCTTTCTCTTTTGCCTTGTTTTGAATTAATTACTCTGAACCGAACTTTACGGACTCAATAACATCTGTGCGGAGATTGCTAAATTAAGATCTGCAGTAGCAAAGGCAGAAGGGAGAACTTCTGTAACAAAACTAGGAGAGAGAGAGAAAGAAAGAAAAAAAAAAAAAATATAAGTAAGTAAGGAAAAAAAAGTATAAATAGAGCCGGACCATTTAAGGAACGATGATAATAATAAATTGAGAAAAAGCGGAAGGACTTTTCGGAGATATAAAAATAAAATGTATAAAACGGATAAAAAGAAATTGCTATACCCTGCTTTTTCCTATCGAAGATATATAGATAAATACGAACGGGGAAGATTCGTTTTAAAAGTGGTATAGTGTTATCGCTGGTTGGCAACATCGATGATTGATTGAAAATATGATCGATTTGGTAAATGGTGTAAATTATTTGCCTAACTAAAAGCTGATAGTTTTAAAAAAATGTAAATATCAGTCGATAAAAATTTAAACGGTTTTCTTTATGTATATCTTACATGTCGAATGATACGATTATGACAAATACAATGATTTAAGTTGAATACAATAATTTGAAGTTTGCTTATACATTTTTCAATATCTACTATTAACTCTTACACTCTCCCTATATATTTATTTATGTATCTTGTTCAAATTTTCAATTACTAATAAAATACTTTCTATTCATCTATTCAAGTTCAAATACACTTTTAAAAATTTGTAGTGGATGACACTTGATGTTAATACAGTTTTTTCAAATTTAATTCATTAAGTAAATTAAAAAATTATAAATAGTAACAAACAAAAATAATAGACCAACAGCATGTATAGAAATGAAAATTGTTCGTTGTGTCTCTGTAGCGCAATGGATAGCGCGTTGGACTTCCAATCCAAAGGTCATGGTTCGAATATAAGAAAGTGATTTCTTTTATACTATACTATTTTATTAGAATAATTAAATTTAATTAATAATAATAGTAACATACAAAAAAAAGAGTCTAATACCATATAAGATAGGAAAATAGAAAATTGTGAGGAAAATCGCTTTCTATTTAGTCACTTAATTTTGTGTGTGATTCTGTCATATGTAAATAAATATTAATATTAAATTGTAGCTATTTAATAAAAAGTAACTAAAATAAAATGTTTCTTTGTGGCCTAATTGGAATTGACTTAATTTTTTTATATTACTTGTTTAGTATAATGTTATAAATTAATTAATGACTGATAAGTTAAATTTTTAATCTCTGGGTATAATATTTGTTATAAAAGTCTATTTAATTAATCATCCTTTTTTCTGGTAGGAATATACATCTGACACCAGTTGTGGAATTTTATAGATAACAATATGATGAAGTCTCTTTTGGAAAATACGTAACTCAACTGCTTGGTTATATATTTTTTAAAGTTTTCAAAAATCCTGATGAAGAGCATTTAGATGCATAATTCTTTACACAAGCATTAAATTGAATTGGAGTTATTTATGCAAAACCGAGTGTGGGATTATAGATTCTAACCTAAATTGAATTAGCGGTCTGTGCGTTTTAATTTGAGATACAAGCTGATCTGATGAATTTAAGAGAATAGTTGTTATAGACAAATGGAAGGAATAGAGCATTGAATAGATATGCCTGTTGAAATTCCATTTTTTACTTAAGAATTTTAACGAGAACATGGAGTTTTAACCTATCTAAGAGGCGATTCATTCATATATAGCGAAGTTTGGTACCAGATATTTTACATGAAAATGGAAGCGTGGGGCAATTAAAATATATTTACATAAATAACAAATAATGAAATAAATCGGAGTTACTTAAAGTCGGGACCCAACATTGAGCACGAATAAAGACCAAACCATTTTTTTAGGTAATAGTTATTTAGAGGTGTTTGAAAGGCATTGGAGTAGGAGTTACTTATTAGTATCCTTGTATATATCCATTAAGAAATAAGATTTAAATATTAATCTAGCTACTCAAACTTCATTATTTCATTCAAAAATATTATCAGATATTATTGATAAGTATTCTAGGTTTTGCAGCCCCGGAATCCCACCATTTTCTCCAGTCCCGAAATCCCGGGATTAAAATAACTAATCTCGGGATTTAATTTTTGTCCGAATTATATTTAAAAAAATTTTTTCTCATCAAAATTTTCCAAGAATTTAATTCTTAAATAATTTATATTTTGTTTATGAATTATGTACGCAGAATTTCTTTTGTGCTGTTATAAGTAAAAAAATATATGCAGCTCTCGTATGGGGGAACGTCGCACTGATCTAAGTGGATCACTGCAATTCTTACACAATAATATAAGCAACATCTCAAGAATATATTTTGTCACAGCTACTTCTTCAATCAAATGCCGTTAATTAATAGAGGACCCGCTTAAACACTTCAAATCTCATTTCATTACTAACAGCTCATGCAACTGATCTTCTATTTCAAAAAATGTAACACTTGAAATTGATTCACATTCTGATTCAATAACTGGATCAATTTATACACACAAACCATTAAGTGTATCAGAAGAACTAGATAAAGTTATCAAAGAGGTATATGTACCAATGCAGTCTATTAGATTTGAGACACTGTTATCAAAAATTTAAAAAGAAATCTCTTTTTGAAAATGGAGGGAGACGTGGTGACTACCTGAAAAGAACGTACTCCTATTTAATGACGATAAAACCTATTAGTATAGAATCCGAAGAAGCATTTTCTTCGGCAGGACAATTTGTAACAGAAATAAGGAGCCGTTTGAATGACGAAACGCTGGACGAGCTGTGTTTTTTTGAAAACTTACTTACAGAAACACAAGAAATGAAGAAATGTTTCTTTTTTTTTTTTATTTCATTATGTACTATTTTTTTATTTGTTTTTTATGATGAATTAGGTTTTTAATTTATTTCAATAAAATTAATGTTAAACTAATTTTAATTATAGTTTCAGTTTTCTTACGCAATTTCAACTATGCTAACGTGTAAGTATTTTTAATAAATAGTCAAATCCTAATCTCTTGACCAATTCCGGATTTGGATAATGTAATCCCAAAATCCCGGGATTGAAAGCATATAACCGGATTGTACATCCTAAAGTATTCTATGCTTTTAATAGTTAAAAATTCCATTATTAGTTTTCTTCACCCTTGATTTTTTGGGAAAAAAATATTAATTAACACACATCATTAGAAATGATTACTGTTTTGATGCTTGTGATGCAATGGCAATGATGTGATTTAGGTTTTGTTATTATGGTCTGAATATTACAGCTTAAAATGATCATTAACATAGAATTTTCTCTTAAAATTTAAAAAAATTAATCAAAATGAAAGTTTAACTGAACTTTCAATATTGTTTAGGTCAGAAAGCCTGCCATGCCTCCCAGAAATTTTTCGCCGCAGCTGGTTTAAGGCAACTAAGTATTCTGTCACCTTCAATGCCTAAATGTTTTCTAGATAAAAACAAAAAAATTCTTAATTCTAGAGGGAGTTTAATTGAAGGAAGGCATTTATCTTTTAAAGCAACTCTTGTCTCGTTTTTTCAGCATTGGGTTTGATTTATTTTCAATAATCCACAAAGTAACTTAAATGATATTCTTTTCAAATCATTGCAATAAAAATCAACAAAAAAAAGGTGATTTAAAAGAAATGATAAAGCTACTATTTCTGTAAAACTTGAAATGGGATACAATTATATTGTTAGAAATATATCTTCAGGTGTAAGAGCAATATATTTTTTTAACAGTATCCTTTCTAATTTTACTAAACATAGCAAACTAATTTTCTCATGTCTTTTTTTATTATCTTTTTTCTTTAATGTTTAAAATTTCCTAATGCAAAATGTATAATATAAAGATGGAGTTGAATATTACTATCTCAAAATTATACACATACTAAAGAAAGAGAATGTGTAAATTTTACATTTTAAACCAAATGCCGCAAAAGTAGCTAAAATTGAATGTTATAAGGTATTTAACAACTAAATATCTTTAGTTAGCTTTAAAACTATTAATTAATTAGTTTATAGAAGAAAACTACTATAGCTAAAAAATTATAAAAAATCTACACCTCTCAAAATTTTATTGAAATTAAATTCGGTTTAAATTTATTTGATACTTTACATATCTTCAGTCATTAAATCACAGTAATCTTAGTTTTAAAATAATTTAAATCAGATTAAAGTAGCTTTTTAAATAAATTCTAGTTTTTGTTTTCGTGCATGTGAACAAAAATTTAATAGTTTTATTGAATGTGAAAAAGGCTTTTAACGAAGAATTCATAGTTTTCTAACAGTATTTCCAGTTTGTGGATAAGTATTATTTTTAAATTAACTTGAACATTTCTACCATCAGGTATTAACAATTAATTAATATGATCATATGTATTTATGTCTGTGGCAAAAAGAATTGGCAAACCTGAGATTCAGCGTAAGCAGTATCAAAAATAACATGACCATGTTACTATGTTTGTGTAATTGTCTTTTTATTTTTCATTGACGGAATGTAATTAATTTCATTTTAAACTAACTTCCTGTGTGTTTTTGTTTCGAAACATTATGTACAAATGATAAATTTTATGTATATACACATGAGTTCTTACAATAACAATAGTTAACAATAATTATAATTACTCTGCAAGATAAACACAACCTTACATAGAACCCATAGAATTGCAAATCCATTCATACTGGCGAAAGCAAGAAGTGCTTTTCGTTCTCTTTGGTATTTTATATTAATTAACATTAACTAGTTTAACATGTTTCAATGTTATTCACACTTCAGGAATGTTTAAAGCAGTTATTCAGATTGTCTTCCGCGGATTTCGTTTCACACATCATACCAGCTAAGAGAACTCTTTCGCCCCTTATGGGAAAAATCTTGATATATTGTTAGTCTTTTTCACTGCTATTGAGATCCATCTGATACAACCTTTCATGGAGTTCTTTCGTATGTAGTATACCAGCTGGTCCGTTAGTAACTAAACAAGTAATATAAAAACTGTTTTTTAAAGTCAATTCCTACTTCGTTAGAAAAACTTACTGGTGCCATCTGTTGCAGCCAATTGTAACTTCGACAGAAATAACGCAGAATAAATTTAAAATTAAAAAATTAAATTTAATTAATGAATTAATATTTGAAGAAAAAACCCTGCAATACATATAGAGAGAGAGAGCGTGAACTAATAGCAGGGATTGAAAAATAAGTCTTATGGATTTAGTTCTAGGAGTGGATGTTGAAACATATTTAATAGAGCTAAGCTGATTTTTAATCTCTTTGAAAATATGTTCGTTTTGCTCTTAGAGTTTTCTTTTCACTTCTGACGATAGTAAGCACCATTTCTGTTGTTGGCAATTTGAATGGGCTAAGACTCCGAAATTCACTCTGTGACAAATATTATAAGGTTTGTTAATTGTTTAGGAGATAGAGATGGTGCTATTTCATTAATCTGTGTGATACACTTGTATCTCCATCAGAGAGTGGATTTTATTAAAATAATTATATAAACAAAAAAAAGTTGTCTAAAGTGCAACGTACAAGATAGTCTTTAATTATTATTATTTAATTAACGCAAAAAATGTGGTATGAAAGTATCAAGAAATATAGTAAGAATCACTAGTAAAAATGTTAATATGCGTCCTGTTAAAATAATAAATAACTTTAAAAAAACTTTACCTTATTTGATTTTGTTTCAATAAAATCCTTAAGTTTATATATACATAAGACTCTCTCTCTTATGGATTTTATGTTTCATTCAAAGTTTTTAATTCGAAACTCTTTTTCCAAGACTAACTATATCCCAAAAATAGAGAGTTAAAAAGGCAAGTTTGGGGTATTTAAACTATATAGCTACAGGTTTTTGTTTTTTCTAAAATTTAGCTGACATTTTAAAACAGTTTTTACAATTCTAGATGCTTTGAAACCGTATA